ACACACACACACACACACACACACACACACACACACACACACACTCAGATAGAGCTGTATTTAAGGAGACGTGGGGACAGACATGAGGCAGCTGTTACCTGTGATCACACAGACGAGAGACGGCAGAGAAGCTCCTCCTTTAATGAAACCTTCGTATTCTGTTGAGAACAAAACAAGCTGATGAGAAACACGTTCAAAGCTCCGTGTTCAACAGCAGCAGTTTGACGAAGCTCTCGTACCTTCAAGAGCCTCCAGGAGGACGGAGAAGTCCTCGTCCTCTGTGGGGACACGAGACAGGATGAGAAAGACAAAGAGGAACTTGCTGCTGTAAATGCTGCGACGATGTTCTCGCCAACATGTTCTGTGACTTTGTGCAAAGCAGCAGTTTGGTTTGTTGGAGGTTCAGACTGTTTGTGAGACGTGACGTAGTCGTCGTGATGTCTCTCGTTGGTTCTGTAATGTTTTATTCTGTTATGTCTCCGCTCACCCGTCCAGCTGGTGCTGCTGAGCAGCAGCGCCGGTCGCTCTGCCCTCAACGTCACCGTGTCATCAGTGGGGTCACGGACTGAGAAAACGGTCCTCTCCTCCTCCTCCTCTTCCTCTTCATCCTCACACCTGTGGAAACACACAACAGGTGAGTTCGAGGCGTCGTGTTGTTCAGAGTAAACTAGTGCAGCACTACAGCTGACTGCAGTCTGACTTTATCTCTGAATGAACTAAAGCGTCTTCTACTTATTAATTATAACTTATTACGGTGCTGATGTTTCTTTAGATCTGGACTGAAGTCTTAAGTTTGAAATAAAGCTCTGTGGCTTTAAAGCTGGACTTTCATGCATAAAGGAACCTCTGTTACATTCAACACCTCAGGTATGACTGCATACTGGAGTCGATGGATTAATATTCAGAGAAAGAACTCAGAACGTTTCATGAAAATAACTGGAATATTCTCTGAGATTTTAAAGGTGGGTGCTCTCTTCATGTCCACCCTTGAACATTTTTTAACCTTAATCCTTCCTCTGAACGACGAGTTTCTATTTTCATCTGGAGCATCGACTCCAGAAGCACCAGACGACCAGCTGCTATCGTCTGTCCCTGCCAGAGGGGCAGACAGACGTTCTGCACTGCAGCTTCAAACAAAGGATTTGCTTGTATTGATGAACCCACACGAGTCTGTTATTAATATAACATGTCGATTTATTCTAACAGAGCTGAAGTCATTGAGTTTTTCTCACCGGCTGCTCTGGAACTGAGGATGAGTGTTGGCGAGTCTGAAGAAGAGCTCATGCTGCAGCTTCAGAGGAGTCTCTCTGAAGATGGAGGCCGGCCGGTCGTACAGAGTCGTCGCCCTGAAAACAGTCACAGAGAATAAATCAAACAAACTGAAGGTTTCATCTTCCAGCTCGTGGTCAGGTTGGTTGGTCGGTTGGAAGCCTCACTCTCATACTGTTCACTGGTCATTCTGGTCGTTGTTAACACATTCTGACCGGTAGAACAAACACGTCAATGTGCCTTGAATCATTTTAGAAAAGGAGACTTATATTTATACTTTTTAAGACCATATTCCACCCGAGCGATTGTCTGCAGAGCTTTATTTCTGATGTATAAAAACACGATGAGTCCACAACAAACGTACCGGATGCCCCAGTTTTTCTGCAAGTCGTCCTTCATCGCGGTGGTAACACACAGGTGGTGAGCGGCCAGAGGACCGAAGACGTGCTCGTACCTGGAAGAAGAAGAAAAAACTCTTTTTAACACTTTAGAAAATATACATTAACTTAGAAAGTTCAGGAATGTGTTTCTTGTCGGCCGATCATCACAAATCTATTTATTATCTCAATAACACGACTCTGATCTCATGATCCCGTGTTGTCCTCAGGGTTCCATCGATCACTAATCACCGATCGATCAGCCTCTCATCTCACCACCGAGCCAGCCGGACCAGCGGCGTCTCTCCGAGGCTCAGCGCCATGACGGTGAAGCCGTAGTTGTGCCAGTCGATGACGAATCTGCTGCCTCGCACGACGCACACGAGCCAAGCCACAGCGATGCTGGGCAGCCCAGGAGGATTCTGGGAAACGATCATTAACATCGGACAGAAGGGCGGCGTCACATTCACCGTGTACAAATACTTATAGGTAGTATAATTACATTTATTTTATAATATTATATATATTATATGTTTTATATATACTATATATATATAATATACAGTTTGGATTGTTTCTGTATTTATTCATAACAACTGAAAACATGAATCATGTTTCTGTAAATGTGTTAATGTTCAGATGCAGTGCATGAATATAATACAGAATACATAAAGTACACCAACATGAGTCCAGTACCTGCATCAGTATATGAGACTGAGTCTCCATCTTCAGCAGCACATGAAGGAGCTGAAGACTCTGAAGAATCACCTTCGTCACGTATCTGAAGACCTTTGGACCGACTGAAGAAACACAAAAGTACACACTGTACTACATCTCAGAGGTACATATTGTACTTTTTACTGTACTACATCTCAGAGGTACATATTGTACTTTTTACTGTACTACATCTCAGAGGTACATATTGTACTTTTTACTGTACTACATCTCAGAGGTACATATTGTACTTCTACTGATCAATCAATACTTTTACTTGAAATACTTAAAGAACATTTTGCTGCTAACACTTTGACTTGTACTGGAGTATTTCCACAGTGTAGTACTAGTACTTGTACTGCAGTAAAGTATCTGAATACATTAAACACCGTCAGCAGAACGAGGCTCCGTTACCTGGAACACCTCTCACTTCTGTGATGGGCTCCATCTTTATCTTCTCTTCTCTCAGAACGTCTTCACGAGGTTTCGTTTCTACAATATCAGAGAAAGAATATGGTTTTATTAATTCTGCCATTTATTAATGTCGGAGATAATCATCAGATGAATCCATAATAAAGATAATAATTAGTTAATAATTCAAAATAATCTCCAGTTGAAACAATAAAATCCTGCTTTTACATTACTGAGTAATAATGATAGAATATAATATATAATATAATATATATATATATATACATACATATACATATATATATATATATATATATATATATATACATACATATATATATATACACACACACACATACACATATATACAACAGTCACAGTTTAAATACTTTTAACTACATTTTACTGATTATACTGACACACTTTAACTGAAGGAACATTTTACTGTAGCAGAGTATTTATACTGTGTGGTACTAGTACTTTTAATGTAATAAGAGTATTTTTACTTCGTCGTATAAGTACTTTTACTGAGTATTTTTACAGTGTGGTAGTAGTACTTTTACTGTAACAAAGTATTTTTACAACGTTATATCGCTACTTTTACAGTAACAGATTATTTTCACACTGAGGTATTAGTACTTTATTGTAAGTGTATTCTTAGACTGTGGTGCCAGTACTTTTACTGCGTGTTATTAGTACTTTTACTGTAACAGAGTACTTGTACACTGAGGTAGTAGTACTTTATTGTAACAGAGTATTTCCAGTGTGGTATTAGTACTTTTACTACACTAAAGGATGTGAATACTTCCTCCAACACTGGTACACTGTGTATTTAACATCCTCATATTATTAGAATAAGTACTTGTTTATGTACTTCCGGTCGCTCTGTGACACTATTATCAATAAAGTTTATTGATCAACACATCAGCTGAAGTCTTGTGGAGACACAGATGTGAGGGAAACAGGTGAATGAATGAATGAATGAATAATGAATGACAGCATGAAGCTTCATTCTTACCTAGAAACCCGACAAACGTAACATGGTACCCGTGTTTGCTGAGGGACAGAGCGTGATACTGCATCCGAGGACTGCGACCCAAATCCCCCAACACCAGCACGCACACCCGCCGGTCGGTCCGGTCGTCCCGCCGCCACCGCAGCCACCGCAACCACCACAGCAGCGACACCAGTCCGGTCACAACGGCCAGAGACACGACCGGACACGTTACGCCCGAACCGGTGACATAAAAAGCGACTAAAACGGACGAAATCACCGCAAACACGGCCAGAGAAGCCGGGCTGGTGCAGCGCTTCGCCATGTTTGTTTGTGATCAGTGATGACGTGGCTCAGCGGAAGAGGAGGAGCTTACAATTTAAAGGGACCGCGGACTTTATGGTGCGTTCATGGACAAAGAATATGGTCATCACACGACAAATATGAGATCAATAACAGAATTATTTTGACAGAATTATCTGAATCCAATGATTCTACTTGTGTTTATTGTGATACTTTGTTGTGTATAGCCTATTGTACTTTGTTATATTGCATTGCATATATGTGGTATTTAAGCACAGTACTGGAAGGGCACAATGTATGCTGAATATGTGACAAATACAAACTTGACTGTCACTCATCTATTTTGAAATGTTCAATCTGAAAAGGACAAATTCTACTTGATGAATCTCATAATTTTTGTTGTCAAACATATAGAAAAATGTATGAAAAGAAGGTCCAATGAGAAAAACAGGCAAAACAAGCTTTCCTAAAATATCCAGAATATTCAGGATATTAACCATAACGCTGCACACAGCAGAATAAAATCATTGTTGTGGCTGAATGAAGAGGAGAGACGCTGTTCTCGGAGTTGCAACCAGTGGGGATCGTTTATTCTTGTGCTCACAGTGACAAATTCACAACAGATCCAAAGTGTCAGAGTTCTTATACGTCTCACTTTTATACCTTATAGTTCTAACCTTACGTCACACTCCAATCAAATCCCGTCAATTGTACCAAAACCAAACCCATCTCTCATTAAGTCATTCCTCTTCCTCTTGACTGGGTCAGGCTGGCAGGTCAAATCACAAATGTATGGAAGCCCATTTCCGAGAGCAAAAAAATAAAAAATAATTCTAATTATTATTTTTTTATGCTGGTGGAAAAAAGTAAAGAAAGTAAAGAAAAACAAACAACTGTTTTTTTTTCTTTCCTTTTTTTCCGCCAGCAAAATATTTTTTTTTTTTTTTTGCTGGGGGAAATGGGCTTCCATAGAAATGGGCTTCCATACATTTGTACACTTTTCTGGAAAATTGTGAGGTCAGGCTGATCTGATATCAGCTCTTTGGCCTGAAGTTTCTCCTCAAAGTTCTCCTCTCAAACGGGTCTTCCGGTTTCAACTTCCGGTTCAAGCGAGGGTCGCTTCCGGTTGAAACCGGTTCAACCGGAATCGAGAAAATGACAAATAAGAGACTTGTACCCTAGGGGTACATCCCGTCTGATTGGACGCTGCAGCCAGGATTGATGAGATTTTTTTCAACATATTGGGTACATCCCAAGTCTCTTAACTGCATCCTCGTTTCCCTCACTTGAGTCCTTTCCTTGCATCTTAGTCCCTCCCACCAGAGATGCATGGAGGAAACCATGCGAGGAGAGAGGAACGAGGAAATATCTTTTAAGAGACATGAGACGTCCTTTCCTCAGTTGCGTCACGTGAAGCGACGTCCGTTTCTGATGACAGCTGATCAGCTGTCAGTCGGCTTTAACAGCTGGAGAGACTTTTGATAAGTTTGTGTCTGTTCACATGATCACTGTACTTAATAACAGTAACTAATAACACTAATAACTAATAAAGACACACAGTAATCACCACTGTAGAGGTGTTTCTCTCTGTAGTCTGTTAACAAACTGTGTCCTGTGTTCTGTTTATAAGATCAGGATCCATTTCTACCAGCGGAATGCGATCGTCTTATTTATGAATTATTTGCGTCTGTACGTTTTGAAATTCAGATTGTGACGTCATTATTAAATAACCCAGAATATGATTATTGTTTCTCTTAAATGATAAAACTCATCAAACCCGACAATCAGGAATGAACAGCCTCACGTGACTGAATGAAATGATGATAAATGATGTAAAAAGTGTTTCGTCTCTCCAGCTCTCGCTCTCTCTCTCTCTCTCTCTCTCTCTCTCTATATATATATATATATATATATATATATATATAAAGTGTTTCGTCTCCCCAGCTCTCTCTGACTTTAATTGTTTCCATAATAAAAGTTCAGATCATGAAAACACAAATCTTTCTAATAAATGTAGAAAGTTGTTTGTGGTCCTTTTGTTGTTCAGACTACAATGAACATTTATTTAAACCAGATGTTGAATCATAAACGAATCAAATATAAAGCTTGAGTTTAATCTGTGATCCGTCTTCACTGTTTACATGTTGAACAAAATCTCATCAGTCCGATCGGCTGCAGCGTCCAATCACATGACTGATGAACAATGAGGGGGCGTGTCGGCCGTTAACACACTTCCTGGAAGTCTGTTCTCGTGGTTCCTCGGAGATCCCTCCTCTCTCCGCGATCCTCGCTCCTCAGAGCTACATTAGAGCTTTGGGACGGCGGTCAATATGGCAGCGCAGAACAACTTCCGGTTCAAGCGAGGATCCAGGAGCGAGGAAATGACAATTAAGAGACTTGGGATGTACCCATTGAATCGATTCTGCCCCAAGCTGAGTCTATTTGAGGACGCTGATTGGCTAAATTGCATGTCACACATTTATATCTTTAATCAGCAATTGGCTAAACTGCTTCATAGACCCGCCTCTTTTGGGCAGTTTCTCCAGCGCCCCAGAGCTGCTGAGACGTGCACGCGGAGAGGACGTGCAGGAAAAGCATATATTTACCGCAGATATCATATTTTACACATATTACTGAGTGATTCCATATTTCAAAAACACAAATATTGACAATTTGTATAGTTTATTATTATCATTATTTATTTTATTTTATTTGTTGTGGCTCAAGGTGGGGCGGCGCCCTGGCGCCCTCTATTGACCAGCCGCCACTGTAACTAATGTTTACTTTATCACAATGTTCTGTTTATATTTTCACGCTCTATCTTACATGTTCTCATATCCTACTTAATTATGTATGAAGGTATATTTGTGTCTTTATTACGCAAACAAAAAAAATTGTTTTAAAAGCAAATTTCTCGCACTGCAATCAAAAATCAAGTTTGTAAGTGAAAATATATAAACTGAGAATAATTTATTTGTTAGTTTTGCTTATGAAACTAGAATTTCTGGTTAAAAAAATAAAATCTTTGGTTAAAAAATAATATCTTTGGTTAAAAAAAAAAAGCTTTGGTTTCAAAACGAAAAGCTGAGTTGAGTTTTTTGTTTGCGTAATAAAGACACAAATACACCTTCATGGGCGGGGCATACGCTGCTGAATGTGCCGGGAGTTTCTATTGGTCGGTTTGACTTGGCTCTCGGTATCTGCTCCATTAAACACAGACGGGAGGTTACGGTGACATGGAGGTAAATTGACATTATACTGCTCTGTTTTGTCAAAATGATTTTAAATGTAGCAGCACTTCACTTTGTTTTCATGTTGTTAGTCTCTTTTTTTAAAGAACGACATGGAGGGCTGCTGTGTTGACATGAAGCTCATAGGATTTATTTTAAATTGTGTCATACATGCGCAGCTAACCTTAGCTAACATAGCCATGCCTCAGGCAAAGTGCATGTAACGTTAGCCCACAGTGGGCTAACGTTACATGCTATAACATCACACGTTTGTTAAAATCATTGGTTAAGTTACGTGACATTTGTAGCTGACAAGCTAACTAACGTTAGCGGTAGCTCGTCTGCCTGTATCCGACCGTAGTTAAGCCTTATAAAGTAACTTTTTTTGCCTTCACTTTCAAACTTCAGAGGTTGAATCATATTTTACTGAGATTATGACGATTTTACAGATCATTTATACTTCATATTATGTCCTTAAACGGACCAACAGGAGCTCAGGTTGTGAACCTGAAATATCACTTTAAGTCCGGTAACGTTACAAACGAGATTAATTACAAGGATAAACTGAATTTGAGTATTTTGCACCTTTTGTTTTGTGGTGTGAAATAAAACTAACTACATTTTTTTTTGTTTTAGGGAGCCAGGAGCAAACGGCTCAGTTCATCAAGCTGAGGGGGAAGAACGACGGCCTCTTCACCAGGGACAAACATTCAGCAACCGTAGCTTTGGATTAAGACATTAGTCCATTTGTAATATCTCCATCTGACCATCCTGTACTTAAGGTTACAGTTACATTAGCTCTACTCCTATATAAAGCCTTTACTAATAGGACAACCAGTAGAGAGGACAATACACTTCTGATGTGTTATTGTGATGTCACCTTTTTCTTTCTTTTATTTAAATTGAAATAAGACATCCATGTAAATGATTTCTATGTGAATATGTACGGTATATATTCTGCTGTGTAAAATTTGTCAATCATCTAAGTTTGCATCCATGTGTTAACTTTATTGATAAATGTTTCTCTGTTCATCATTTTCTCAATGTGATTTGGACAATTTTGGCAGTCACCCTCCCAACTGCAAGTTAATAAACACGTTTGCTGATATTTGTTTTGCTGCTGTTGTTTTTGTTAACTGTCCTCTGCCTTAGGATTACAAGTATCCAGGCTCTTTTCTCTACTAGAAAGATTGAGAAATAAATAAATATATATGTATATATAATATATATGTATATATACATGTATGTATATCTACATATATATTTATTTATTTCATTCACACATATATATACATGCATGTATATATATGTATAATTAATATGATTATTAATTTAGAAAAACTAGAAAAAAATAACTATGAATGAATTATTGAATATATGATTGAAAAACAGATTAAAACTAAAACCTTTACAGT